TAAAAGAATATACTGTACTTCTAGAAAGAAAGGGTGCTATATGGGCTGGGGAGATGGCTCAGTAGGATAAGTGCTTGACTGGCAAACGCAAGGATTTGAGTTCAATCCCCAGTTCCCCAAAAAAAAAAAAAAAAGAAAGAAAGGGTGCTGGTGCCCGAACCTTAGACACTGGAGGGGGTGCTGGGTGTGGTATAAACACCTGTCATCCCAGCACTTGAGACAGGAGGATCCAGTGGTTTTAAAGCCATCCTGGTTATATAGTTCAAGGCCAGCGTGCAGTATATGACTAGAAACAAAAAAAGATCCAGGAAGGGCATTTGTGTTTGGAATGTGAGTGAGGCCCAGTAGACCTTCACTCAGTTAGCTATGTTGCTGCAGATTAGCGCTCTGCTGTGTCTCCTGAACACACTAAACCTGAAGCAGGAAAAGGTTTGCTTTCACGGTGGGCAGTCTCATACAGATTAGGGTCAGGACAGAGTGAGCAGGATGAAGAAGAAAGGCCATGTATCAGAACCACCACAGTGCTGGGGGTGGTGGCTGTTATCGGAGGCTGAGGCAGGAGGATCGAGAGTTCAAGACCAGCCTGGGCTTCAAAGTGAACTCAAGGCCGGCCTGAACTGCATAGGGAGACCCTGTCTGAAAAAGACAAAAACAAAAAAAAACCACCACAGTGGTTAACTGGTCTGGAGAGGCTGTCTGAAAAGCACCAGACTCTGCTGCTTTTTGCCAGGGTGCCCAAAGTGCAGAGATGCACTGGAGTTGGCTTTTTTTTTCTCAACACTCCCCTTTCCCAAAAATCACTTCTCCTGAAGGTTGGTGAGAATAAGCAATCTGATTTTTAAGTATTCATCATAGTGGAAAGCACTGGAGTTTGTTTTTAGTTTTGTTTTTTTTCCCCATCGTTTCACTGATTTTTTTTTTTTTTAACCCTAAAGTATCAGCCACCAAGCCAGGCATGGTGGCACACACCTGTCATCCCAGCCCTCGAGGCCAGCCTCAGTGCCAGGCAGCTTGAAATCTCAAGACACAAAATGCCAGCCATCCTACCAGTTCCAGCATCAATACTGAAGATGTGTAGATTTTTTAAAATGTGGAAAATTCAAAACATCTCATTTAATTTCTTTGGCTCAATATTCTGAATTGATGCTACTTGTAACAAACCTACTCTTGGGTCACGTTTTATTTTCCTAAATGGAATCATATTCAATGTCCTGAGCCTGAAATCTGGCTCCCATGTCTGCAGCCACTGTGTGAGGCATGTAGCCAGGCTGCAGCCTCTTGTGTAAGGCATATAACCAGGCTGCAGCTATGGCTAGGCTGCAGCCACCTTGTGAGTCATATGGCCAGGCCACAGCCACCGTGTGAGGCATGTAGCCAGGGTTAGATGTACTTTGGGGAATGAAGCATCCTATTGAGGCTGGTAGAGAAACAGCTTTTCTTTGGGTTTTTCTTTGTTGTTGTTATTGTTTGTCTTTTTGAGACAGGGTCTCACTATGCAGTTCAGGCTGGCCTTGAGTTCACTGTAGCCCAGGTGGTCTCAAACTTGGAATGATCCTCCTTCCTCAGCCTCCCTAGTGCTGGGATTATAGGCATGGGCTGCCACGCCCAGCGTTTTCTTTGTTTTTTTTTTTGAGGGGGGATGGTAACGGAGTCAAACCCAGGTTGCCCGGTGGTCACCATTGAAAAGCCCCAGCTCTTCCTGTTGCAAACAGTTTGAATCTGGATTCGCTGAGGCTGTGGGTGAATACTCCATCCCTCTGCTTGAGATTGTAATTCCATGAGTCTTAAGTTTGCTTGGGCCTTTCATGTACTAATAATTTCTCATGAGCCAAGAATGTGTGGAGTAGTGTACATTAGCTCCTAGTGGATTCCATTTCCCCCTGGAACAAATTTTTCCTGGGGCAGTTCTGCTTGGGGTGTGGATGCCTTTTTTTTTTTTTTTTGCCTGTTGTAGAACTGCTCAGAGTCTCTGTGACAGACATTTGCAGGTGAGATGTGGCTTCCAGTTCCCTGACAGGCTGGGACTGCTCTTCACCACCACCCAAGCACATGTGCCCTGCTCTGCCTGCCCAGGGATCTCTTCTGAACCCCCGAGTTGAGTCTCCTTGCTGTGGACCAGGGTGCTGTCCAGCTTTTGCTTTGGTCAGATTGACAGCAGCATGAGGCCTTGTTCCTGGGGAACTGTCCTTACTTTCAGAGTCCTTGTCTGAAAGCCAGTGCTGCAGGCCTGCCAGTTAGCTCAATTGTTTAAATGCCTGCTCATGCAAATGCAGTCAAGCCTAGGAAACCATGGTTTGAACTCCACCTCCACCTGCCTTACCAGATCCGCCCTTAAGGCAGGCTGAGCCAGCCAAAAAAAAAAAGCCAGTGCTCCTACAGCATCAGGGCTCCTGCTTAGCACACCTGTGTCCTTTCTTTCTGTGGCTCCTTCCCTTACCAACAGGCAAGTGACAATAACTTTAATAAGTATTTCCTGTACTTATTGAACCTGTTTGTGAGGGGCCGTGGAGATAGCTCAGTGATCTAAGCGCTTGCCTAGGCAAGTGCAAGGACCCAGGTTTGATTCCAGTACCTTATGTCACACCTGCCACGAAGACCAGGACATGGTGGCACATGCCTGTAATCCCAGCTCTGGGAAGGCTGAGACAGGAGGATCACAAGTCTGAACTGCATAGTGAGATCCTATACCAAATACATAAAATTAAAAACCTATTTGTGCCCCCCCCCCCTTTTTTTCCTCCTTTTTTTGCAGTACCGGGGATCAAACTCAGGACCTTGTGCTTGCCAAACAGGCACTTACGCTGCTGAGCTATATCCCCAGCCCTGTGTTCCTTTTCTTAATTTGAAAACATAAGGAAAATCAACCAGAATGCACAACTGCCTCAGGCTTTACAGAAGGACACTGCATCTTCCCTTCCTCCAAATCCCACCGCATCTGTCATTTTTATTTGTGTGGGACCTGAATTTCATGTCTTGCGGTCGCTAGTCCAGTTAATAAAAAGATTCCCTCACTTAATTATGTTCATATGTAAAAACAACTAAAGAGAGGAAGGGTTCCCTAAACTTCTAATTAACTTTTTGTTGTTGTGCTGGGGATCAAACTCAGGACCTTGAGCTTGCCAGGCAGGTGTTTGAGCTGCTAAGCTATCTGCCTGGCCCTCTAATGACTTTTTTCATGTAACTATTTGATCTATAAAATTAGATATTGTGTCAAGTGTGGAGGCACATGCCTGTAATCCCAGTGCTCAGGCTGAGGCTGAGGCAGGATGATGGTAAAGTGAGCTCAAGGCCAGCCTGAACTACATAGTGAGACCCTGCCTCAAAAAAAGACTAGGGGCTTGTGAGTTAGCTCAGTTGTTTAAAGTGCCTGCTTGGGTAAACTCAGGCGCAGTGGACCATGGTTCATCCCCAGATCCACATGCTGCACCAGACCAGCCCTTAAGCCAGCCAGCCAGCCAAAAAAAAAAAAAATCCTCCAATTTTTGGGCCAGCCAAATAGCTCAGCAGATTAAAGCCTCTGCTCAGGCAGAGTGCAGCTGCTATGCCAGCCCCGCCCCTGGGCCGTGCTGAGACAACGATTGAGACTGGGCCTATAATCCCAGCTCTTGGGAGGCTGAACACAGGCAGATCACTACAAGTCCGATCTACATAGTGAGACCCTGTAGATCCTGTCCTAAATACAGAAAGAAAAAACAAATTAGATGTTTAGAGCTGGGTAGACAGCACAACAGCATAAGCACCTGCCTGGCATGCACAAGGTCTCGAGTTTGATCCCTGGTACAAAAAAAAAAAGATCGGGCTGGTGAGATGGCTCAGTGGTCTAAAGCACCTACTTAGAACAAGCTAAGCTCAAGCAAAGCACAGAGACCTCGGTTCAATCCCCCAGCACCACATGCCAGCCCGCCCGCCCCCTGGTGGGCTGAGCTGGCCACACAATAAATAAATAAATATTTAAAAATTAAAAAAAAAAAAAAAACTAAAAAAAAAAAAAAAAAAAGATATTTACATACACTAGATATATTCTATAACCGCAGTCTGCAGTCCTAGGTTTGGTCTAAATCTATGAAAAATAGTTCATTTTTAATGTATTTAATTTCTAAACTATTCAAATTCCTTTGCTTTTCTTAGTTTTAAGAAAAGCAGTCTTAAAAATGCATTCTTAGTTTTCATAATAAGCTGAAATTCAATGTTTTAGAGCTTACCACTTACAGTAACTTTCTGTGATTTTTTTCGAAAACTTGGTATCAGAGATTTTCAGAGCATTTGGCTTGTAACACTAGCTTTGGCTTCATTTTCCTTTTAATTTTCTTTGCAGACATCTTTTTGCAAGGAAAACGCTTCCATGAGGCCTTGGAAAGCATGCTGTCAGCCCCAGGGAGCACAAATGAGGGGGATGAAAATCTGCTCCACTGTGGCTACCTCAGAAGCGTGCAGCACCTTCTGAAAGATGTGCGTGGCGTGTGTGCACTTGAGAGCGCTGTGCAGCATGGGACCCTGAAGTACACCGGGCTGCTGGACTGCGTGGCTGAATATCGGTAAGTCAGAGGCTGTGCCCCACCTGGCATGGTGGGGGGCAATTATCGTGATGTCTGTCAAAAGAAATTCTTTTCCTCAGTCCTGGCTGACGATACCATGGCTCCTGCCTCTTGAAAGTCAGACTAGGCTGGGCATGGTGGTGGCACATGCCTGGAACCCTGCACTCTGACAGGCTGAAGCAGGAGGGTGGCAAGTTTGAGCCCTGACTGGACAAGTTAACAACATAGTGAGACTCTGGCTTGAAATTTAAAAAACAAAGAAGAGACTGGGCGTGGTGGTGCACGCCTGTAATCCTAGCTCTTGGGAGGCTGTAAACAGGTCCAATCTAGTAGTGAGACCCTGAATACCCTATAGATCCTTCCCTAAAATAAAAAAAAATAAAAAACAAAGAAGGTTAACCCGATGTGAAAAGTAAAAGAATAGGATGTCAGCTAGGAGCAAGAGCAGATGCAGTGGGTTAGAGCCATGTTGTCCTGGTCAGTCAGTTTTCCACGTATGCATGCTTTCCAGTAGCCCTGGTGTGGCCTGCAGGCGCCCGTTGCATTCTAGCATTGTTTCCTTCTTCTCAAATTTTTTACTGTTGTTTTTCTTTGTTCCTAATTTTCCTCTTTTTTTTCTATGTTCCTGTCCCTTAAAGACTGTACCATGACCCTTTGGCCCTGAAAGTTGCTCTTCCTGGCTTCTAGGCAGTGACTAATGGGATAGGAGCTTGGCTTCTTTATGCTGCTTGCTACATTTTTGTTGTTATTGTTTTGTTTTGTTTCTTTGAGATAGGGTCTCACTATGTAGTTCAGGTTGCCGTCAGACTTGGAGCAATTCCCCTGACTCGGCCTCCTGAGTGCTGGGATTACAGGCCTGCACCACCACACCTAGACATGTGTACTGCTTTTAAACTGTTGCCGGGGCTGGAGAGATGGCTCAGTGGTCTAAAGCACCTACTTAGAACAAGCTTAGCAAAGCACAGGGACCGCGGTTCAATCCCCCAGCACCACATGCCAGCCAGCCCCGCCCCCTGGTGGGCTGAGCTGGCCACACACACTAAATAAATGTAAAAATAAATAATTAAAAAATAAATAAATAAATAAACTGTTGCCATGTTGCCTCCTGATTCCCAGGGTGTCTAACCAGCAGGAGCCTCTTCCCAGTACCACATGGGAGCTGTGACAGGATGGGGCAGCGCATCCATGTATCCACAGCGCACTTCACTAAGCTCAGTGACTATGCAGGTTCTCAGGTTCCATCTCCAGCACTAGAAAAATAGGACTGCAGGTTTTTCCTTCTGGAACTGTCTGGAGCACCTGACAGTTTGTGGCATCATGGCTTCATATCTGGGAACAGTGCCAGGTACCCAGAAATGTGACAGGTACTTTTGGTTCCCTGTAGAATCCCTGAGGGAGCCACACAGTCACTTCCGCCAGTGGCCTACAGAACATCCCCACATCAGCTGTAGTAAACACGTCCGCAGCACTACTGTCTGGTTTTCTTTTTCTTTCTTTCTTTTTTTTTTTGGTACCAGGAATCAAACTCAGGACCTTGTGCCTACCAGGCAGGTGCTGTGCTGCTTTGCTGCCGAGCTACATCCCCAGCTCTTTCAGTCAGGGCAACACAGGGTGGCACACACCTGTCACCTGTATTCCCAGCATTGTGGCTGATACAGGAGGATCACAAGGTCAAGCGCAGCAGTGACTTAGTGAGAACCTGTCTCAAAGTGAAAAATAGAAAAGAACTATGAACATAGCTGTGAAGGCCCCAGGTTCAGTCCCCAGTACCAGAAATTTTTTTAACAGGTTGGGATGGGGAACAGAAGGAGGAGACTAGAAGTGGCATCGGTAGTCGCTCGCCATGAGTTGCACGCAGGAGGTGGTTCTGGCCTGAGCTGATGGTGCAGAGCCGTCTCTGGTCTCCCATAGGGGCGAGCTATGTGTGATCGACTGGAAGACATCGGAGAAGCCAAAGCCCTTCCTGCGGAACACGTATGACAACCCACTGCAGGTGGTGGCCTACATGGGCGCCCTGAACCACGATGCCAACTACAGCTTCCAGGTGAGGCTGCTCTCACCCGTGTTCCTCACCACACTCGCCTGTGCCTCTGACCTAGCTCTGGTCTCCTCTTGCCTGAGAAGCACCATTTCTTTCTTCCTGGGCTTTCCTTTGTTCCTCTTGCTCGCAGTCCTTCAAGCATGTCATTGCAAGCCTGTCACCGTGGTGTCCCCATGTGTCTTGGATGTGGGCTTTATTTCTTTCATTTTTTTGTTTTGTTTTGCTTTGGCAGTACCAGGGATCAAACTAAAGACCTTGCACTTGCCAGGCAGGTGTTTTTGCCACTGAGCTATCTTCCATCCCTGGGCTTTATTTCTTTATGGTTTTTTGAAACAGGGTCTTGCTATGTAGTCTCTGCTGGTCGTGAACTCCCTGTGTAGCCCAGGCTGGCCTCAACCTCACAGCGATCCCCCTACCTCAGCCTCCTGAGTGCTGGATTCCAGGTGTGCATCACCATGCGCAGGACCATGTTTAATCCTTAGTCAGCATCTCAGAGGTAGATACTCCTGGAGTCAGGAGGCACTTTAGGAGGTGGTGCATTCCTGAGGTGACAGACCTGACCTATGGGCTCACAGGATCCTTGCAACCGCCCATCTCTGCGCAGGTGCAGTGTGGCCTGATTGCTGTGGCCTACAAGGATGGCTCCCCCGCACATGCCCACTTCCTGGACTCTGAGCTCTGCTCCCACTACTGGGCCAAGTGGCTGCTTCGCCTGGAGGAATACTCTGCAAAGGACAAGAAGGACAAGAGCCTAGATGGTCAGGAGCCAGGTGCTTGTGAGGATGCAGCTGGAGCAGGCGCTGCTTTCCCTGCTGGGGCAGAGGGATCACCTCCTCCCACTCACTGAAAGCCAAGCAGCCACATCAGCAGAGGCAAGAGGGTTCCTTTGTTGAAATGTGCTGCTGCCCACAGGACTGAGAAGCCAGATGCATCTGACATCAGCCTAGGACACCAGCGCCGCCACCCTGACCAGAGGGCCAGCGGGACAGGAGGCATGGGTATCTCCCAGGCTCTCTTGGGACCTCCTTGTCCGAATGCTCAGCTGAAGATGGAGAGCCACAGTCTAGCCAGCTGCCACCCCATATCACCCTACGTGTGTTGTAGACTGAGGATCTATGTATGTTTCTATTAGGAGAATAGGTGTTTTTTTGGCTTGTCTGGTTTTTTTCTTTTTCTTTTTTTTTTTTTTTTGAGACAGGGTCTCACTATGTAGTTCAAGCTGTCCTCGAACTTGCGCTGACCCTCCTGCCTCAGCCTCCCTAGTGCTGAGCTGCATACATGTGTCTATCCTGGGGGAAGCACTGCTGTCTGGCTGGCCTCCAGCACTGGTGGTTCAGTGGCTAGTTCCGAACAGAGTGGGAAGTGTATGGTTTGTGGTACCCTTCGGCTATGGGAACACTAATAAAGTCTGTCTTTTCCATGTCTGCTAGGTATTCATCATAAGCTGTCTTGGGCTAAAGAGGGTTTAGTAAGCACAGCAGTGGCCCCAGCCTGCTGCTGTGTGAGGGCTATCTCAGTCACTGTAACCCTCTTCAGCCCTGTGTAAAGGCCAGGTGTGATGGCGCACCCCTGTAATCCCAAAACTGAAGAGGCTGAGGCAAGAGGATTGCTGTGAGTCCAAGGCCAGCCTGGGCTACATAGTGAGTTCACAGCCAGCCTGAACTACACAGCAAGACCCTGTCTCAGAAAGCCAGAAAAATGACCTTTGAGTGGGGGCAGGAATCTGCTGAGCTAAGGGAAGCCTGGAGCCCTAAGGGAGAGGCCCTCAGACAGCAGCTGACTGAGTATGAGGCAGGCAGGTCTGGGCAGGTGCTCCAACCTGCTCAGGGCACCCGGCTCCAAAGTCCAGGTGGTCCCTGTCCCCGGGGAGGAAGTGGCCATTGTAAAGTCGGCGCACTAGGCCTAGGAAGGCTGGTGCTATCCTGGCTAGGCCAGGGCTTCCTGAGTGCAGGTGCTGGTCCCAAGAACAGTACTGCAGCCAGCCTGCGTTTCTAGGGAAACCTGTGCCTACAGCCCTGAAGGGACTTTGGGTTCCTTATTAACCTGAGCATTCACCAAGCAGTAAGACATCTGGTTCTAACCTACGCTTGCCACACACGCTAAAGAGGAACTTAAGATTTATTTTTAAAAAAACCAGTTGTTTTGAGCTGATTCTAGACAAATTCTAGTGTTAACTGATCAGCTGCTAAGTAACAGGCAGGACCAACTCTTAAAGCCCAGGGCCTGGAGGTTAAGCAGAGATGTGGTGCTGGACTCGAACATGCTGAGCTACGAGTTACTCAGGACTCTGAGCTGGGTGTGGTGGTGCACACCTGGCATCCTGGCACTGAGGAGGCTGAGGCAGGAGGATCACTCTTAAGTTCAAGGCCAACCTAAACTACATAGTGAGACCCTGTCTCAAAAAATTGGGACCGGGGAGATGGCTCAGTAGAATAAGCGCTTGCCTGGCAAGTGCAAGGGTCTGAGTTCAATCCCCAGTTCCGCAAAAAAAAAAAAAGTTGATTTTTGAGACAAGCTCTCATTTAGTTGCCCAGGGTGACCGCTGAGATCCTCCTGCCTCAGTGTCTGGAACAGTGGGGGTGGCAGCCTTGTGCCCCTCCTCTGTTGGCTAATGGAACATGAGGCCCACAGTGTTTTGCTGCTGTGGGTAGTGCCGCAGTGAGCACCTGAGCACCTCTGCAGGTAACCAAGAGGTGGAATAAAATTTGGAACAGGTGTGGGCTGGGACCTTGACCAGGTAGCCTGGGCTTCTGGCTCCCATCCCACACTTGCAAACTGAGGCAAATAATGGTCCAGAGGGTTGGAGAATCTAATGCAGTAAGCACTGGGGACAACTGCCACGCAGTACTGTCATGGCCAGGCGTGATGGCACACTCCTGCCATTCCAGTACCAGAGGCTGAGGCAGGATTGCTGTGGCCAGCCTGGCTACTTAGCAAGACCACTGGTTTGTGTATTTATTTTGAGACCTCTTGCAAAAATTGACCAGACCTAGACAGAGCCCTGCTGGATTCCAGTATGAACATGATGGCCAAATTCCTCTACCAGCTGATGACACTGTGGCATTCCCACTATCGCGTCAGATATCCAGACGTCCAGATTTACCATACCAGCTCTGCGGCTTCCCTGCCACTGCGCGGTGAGGCCGAGAGCGCATTGCCGGCCTGCGCCAGGACTGGCTGCCCTCTGGCGGCAAGAGCGGCGCACTGCAGCCGGTTGAGCAGGCGCACGCCCACATCCACACCCTCCTCCAGAGGCTCAGATGGTTTCTACTCTGGCTGCCTGGAGCCCTTTCTGTAGGTCTCCATAGAAAGTGCCGTGCACTGTGTGCAGAGCCCCACAGGGCCTCACTGAGCGGCCTGCGTCTGGGTTGCTGATCGGAAGAGCAGCGTTGGGTCCGTGGGGGCACACACCTGTCATCCCAGTGCTCCACAGGCTGAGGGGGCCGACATGTGCAGAGAAGGCCAGCTCCCGGGGCCAGAACCAGGTCACCAGCCACTGCTGTCCTGACTGGGCCAGACAGCACCCCTGGTTCCCCCAACACTGGTGCCATCGGGCTCTGTACCCTCCGGCACCTGCAGGGCCATGTTGTGCCTTCCTCCAGCCGCCCCAGTACCCTTTGGCTAATGGCATCTTGGTGGTTTGTGAGCTTCACCTGGCAAACAGAGAAAAGGGTCCAGAGGCCATGAGCACCTGGCTGGGTCATAGTGGTGGTACTGAGACATCCTCCCAGCCCACGCTGCCCTGTGACCTCCGTTTCTGTGCTCCAAATCTTGCTGTGGCCGCTGTGTGGTGGTGAGAGGGCATCGGGACAGGCCCCACCCATGTGCGTAAGGTGCTTGTACACTGGGGTCTCAACTGGTTAGACTGGTGTTTTAGGGGTTTGTTTGTGCGTATGTGGTTTTGCAGTTTGTTTTTTGAGACATAGTTCAGGCTGGCCTGCGGAGCCTGCTCACCACACACCACACACCACACGCCTCTTCCGCAGCCACTCGGCTTCAGGGCCTTAGCTTGTTCCTGGGCCTCTCGGTGCCTAAGCCAGGATGCTTGCTCTGTTGGCCAAGTGCACATGGGCAAGTGCCGGAGGTGGAAGCCAGCGGGCCACTGTCTCCACATGCAGGTCCAGACCACGCTGGAGCCTTGTGCAGTCGACAGTTCCGGCGCAGGAAGAAGCGTGCTCAGCTGTCCTTGTCCTATTTGTCATTCCAGCCATCTGCTGTCCCCGAGAAGCTCACCCACAACAGCTAAAACGGTGCACTGGGCTCGGAACCCATTGGGGAAATGTCAGCCCCGCAGGATGGAGGGGCCCGAAATAGCAACCATGTAGCTGGGCGGCAGCAGCACAGCTCGGCCCCTCCAATCTGTAGGGGGGAGGGGGGCGTCTGGGGCTCCCTGATACCCTTCTTGGTGTCTGGCCATGTGAGTCCTCCAGGAGCCAGCCTTTTCCACCAGTGAGAACAGGGGAGCTGGGTGTGATGGGCACTCAGGCTCAGGAGGCCAAAGCAAGAAGGTTGCTATGAGCTCAAGGCCAGCCTGACCTGTGCAGTGAGACCCTGCCTCACAAAATGAGTGTCAGTGCCAAGGATGCACACTGTCCTGACTGAGATTCCAGAGTGCACACCAAGAGCTGCCTTTGGCTGAGCTAGAATAGCGCAGCAGTAGCCGCCGCCCAGCTACACCGCCTCACCCCGCTGTAGCGCTTGGTCCTTAGGCCCTGGGTGGTGCCCTCCCTTCTGCAGACTGAACCCAGGGCCTTCAGACTGAGCTGCAGCCCCTGAATCCTTTCTGCCTACTTTTATTTGGAGACAGGGCCTAAGTTATTAAACTGCCCAGGCTGGCTTAACCTTGGGATTTTCCTCCCTCAGCCTCCAAGCATGGGGATAAAAGGTGTGCGCCACTGCACAGCACCAGATCCTGTGTTGCAGGCTGGGTACTATACTCCCTTTGTGGGTCCCCTCCCTCTCCACCCTCTTGTGTGTCTCAGCTTCCCTGCTGGCAGAGGAAGGCAGCAGGCTGGTGGCTCCCCACGATCTGGTGGGCCTCCTCATGATCAGTCTGTTGAGACAGGAGGTCCCCTCCCCACCTCAGGCTTCCGGTGGCCTCCAGGTGGTCCTAAGCTTCTTTTCTGTCCCCCACGGCCAGGGTGACCCCATTCCCCATTGGAGAAGCTGGACTGCCACAGACGGACAGACAGATGTGTGGTCTGTGCCAGCCCACACAGCCTGCAGCCAGCTAGAGGCTCCATTTTAAACCCACTCAGCACCAGCCACTGCTTACCGCCACCTCCGCTTGGCTGGGGCCTGGAATCCCCGCATCCTGCTTGCTTCTAGCAGCTTCATCAGCCTTCCTGCTCTGCCCTCACCTGGAGCCCCCAGCTCCGCACCCCCAGCCCTGGGCTGGCCCAATGCCCATAGCCTATAGTAGATTGTTTCTCCGTTCGGAGCTCACCCCAGAATGGGCCTGGTGGTACGCGCTGGAATTCTAACTACCAAGGAGGCTGAGCAGGAGGGTTATCAGTTTGAGGCCAGCCTGGACAAGTTAAATATTTTTATTTTTCTCTGTTTACTTTTTTTTGTACTAAAAATCCAACTCAGGACCTTGTGCTTGCCAGGCAGGTTCTCATGCCACGGAGCTATACCTCCGGCACTTAAAACATTTTTAAAGGCCTAGAGATGTAGCTTAGTGGTACAGCCTTTGCCTAGCACAAGGAAGCCTGGATTTGGGCCAAAGCGCTGGACAAAAAAAACTCTTCATGGCATCTGCTATAGACAGTTTCTGCCAAGGTTGTTTGGTGAGACAAGGTCCCACTATGCAGTTCAGGCTGCCCTTACATCACCATGTTGCCTAGTCTGGCTTTGAACTTCCAGCCATCCTCCTGCCTCAGCCTCCCAAGTGCTGGGATTACATGGGCCAATATACCAGGCTTCAATGTGGTGTGTTCTCTATTCCTCCCTAAGAAACTGTGGTCTTCACTACAGGGACAGGGTCTCTTGTGGGTTGTTTTTTGGGTTTTTTGTTTTTTTTTTTTTTTTGTATTTTAGGGAAGGGGCTACAGGGTGTAAAGGGTCTCACTACTAGATCAGACTCGTAGTGATCCACCTGCTTACAGCTTCCCAAGAGCTGGAATTAACAGATGCGCACCACCATGCTAGGTCTCGATTGCCATTTCAGGGTGTCCCGAGGGCGGGGCCAGCACAGCAGGCCTGGGGAATCAAACCCCAGGCCCCTTTGCCTGCTTGCAAGTGCTTTAATCCACTGAGCTATCTGGCTGGCCCTCAGGGTCTCTTGTTCTTGCCTTGCCTGCTGTAGGTGCTAAAGTGTGCTGAACAAAAGTCTTACTAATAAGCAAATCGCCACCTTATTATCACTCTCGGCAGTACAGTGCCTTCGCTGCAGCAAGCAACCTTTTCCCCATGCAGTAGCAAGTGTCCTTGGGTGTCTTGGACCCTCTCCCTGGCAGTGTGGCGAGGTAGAGACACAGCTGAGGCACACAGGGAGCATCAGGGTGGCTTGAGGATCAGAGATCCCCTGGGAGTCCTGGAAAGCGGGCCAGGAAAAAGGCCACAAGACAACCAAACTTCCGCTTGGCAAAGAAAGAAAGACTCAGCAGAAGCCAAAGCTAAGTGACATCTGGGAGGCAAGCCAGCAACGTACACGGCAATTTCAATGCTGTGTTCATGCCGACAAGCTCGCACTCCAGGAAATCAGGGAGCCAAGAGGTCAGGCAGGGCCAGGTTGAAGTGGCTGCAGCTCTGTCCTGGCCAGAGCCGCTGCTGGCCCTGTCCACCCCGGAAGACCAGGGCACCTGACTGGCTGGAAGCCCCTTCTCAATCAGAATGGCTGAGGGCCAAACAACACAGCGTGGGCCCAGGCACAAACTCAGCTACCGCCCGCTGTAAGCTGGCATGGTCCCCGTGGAAGATGACTGCATCAGGACTCCGATCACTGAAGCTACAGAAGGTGGGCAGGGGGCCAGTGGGCAGCTCAGTGCAGTGCTCAAGGCTGGGGCTGGATTCTAGCACTGCAGACCTAAGGGTTTTTGTCTTTTTGAGACAAAGTCTCTATGCAGTTCAAGCTGGCCTTGAGCTCACTTTGTAGCCCAGGCTGGTCTCAAACTCACAACCATCCTCCTGCCTCAGCCTGAGTGTTAGGATTACAGGTGTGCACCACCTCGAAGCCCATCCCCCCACTTTTTTTTTTTTTTTTTAAATGGGCTCACTGCGTAACCCTGACTGGCCCTGAACTCATGGCGATCCTCCTGCCTCAGCCTCCTGAGTGCTGGGATTTGTAACTACTCCAGAACTAGTTGATGTATTATTTTAAAATACCAAGTACCACACAGTATTCATAATATGCCCTCTGCTAATTCAGACTGAGAAAAAACAATGACAGGCGAGAACACAGCTTGCTGTTTGTTTCTACATGGGTGAAGTTAGAGGAGAAGCTGGTGACGGCAGCTAACCACGATGGCAGACTCGCAGAAAAGGAGCCAGCTGGGAGATGACTTTTATCTACATACATTATATAAGAATTTAAGCAATTTTCTCCCCATTAGGAGGCTGAGGCAAGAGGATCACCATGAGCTCGAGACCAGTCTGGGCTGCACACCAACTTCAAGGCCAGCCTGAGTGCCAAAGAGACTGCCTCAGAAAACCAAAGAAATTTCCTCCGCCAAACACCCCATAAAATGCAGTGACTGGTCCACTCAGCTGCGAAGTAGGTACTTTTTCAAATGCCCGTGACCCCTGGAGAGGCCACAGGGTGGGAACCTCAGGTTTTGCACTGCGGGGAAGCCCCAGGGACTGCTCTCCCACCTGGTGGTCTCCAGGCTTTGCATACTGGAGCTTGGCACTATGCACCTTGTGCTCCACCAGGCCCACACCCAGCAGGCAGCAGCACTCCTTGTGCTGGGAGGTCGAACCCCAGGATAAGGCTGCAGCTAAGTTTCAGTGGAGCCCCAAATCTTTTCTCGTTTGCCTTCAAACTTAGAGATTCTCCCGCCATGGCCTCCTGAGAAGTCTTTTTTTTTTTTTTTTTTTAATTTTACTTATGTATATGTGTGGGTGTGGGTGTGGCCAGCTCAGCCCACCAGGGGGCGGGGCGGGCTATGTGGTGCTGGGGGATTGAACCACGGTCCCTACGCTTTGCTAAGCTTGTTCTAAGTAGGTGCTTTAGACCACTGAGCCATCCTCACCAGCCCCTGAGAAGTCATTTTGAACTGGGTTTCTGTCACAACCTAGAGTGCTGTTTACTAAAAGAGCACTTGGCCTACAGAGTGGCTCACCACTTCCTGTGTGAAATGGACCACAGACCACTCTTGGCGGGTCACAGGGACACCCTGCCCAGACTGAAGCTGACATCTGCAGTCTCCAGACCCTGCTCCTTCTGGCTTCACTCTGTGGCCACAGCATCCTCTGGGGTCACAGCGAACCCTATGCTCAGGCTCTGTCCCCGGGGACTGCCCCCGAAGTCACTCGGAGCCCACCCCCAACCCTGCCCCACAGAAACTAGAATGTGGCCCTGTAGACTACACCACACCTGGGGCTCCAGAGCTGGGCAGCTCGGACCTGGGTCAGCCCTGCAGGAGTCACTAGGCTAGGGGGGTGGGGAAGACCATCTGGGTCATAGAGTTGAACTTTATGACTGTTCTCTGTTTTGTTGGTTTTTTGAAACAAGGTCTCGCTGTGAGGTCCAGGCTGACCTCAAACTCAAGAAGCTCCTCCAACCTCAGCCTTCTAAGTGCTGGGCTTCTCTCTTGGTGGAAGGGCAGGCTGAAGAGAGGAAAACAGGGCTGTGCCGCTCATAGCGCTGGGCTGCCTGCACATGCAGCTGTGCGTGGAGGGCGCCTACAAAAGGCTTTCTTCCTCCCAGTAAGAAGAGAAATGAGGCTCGTGCTTGAGACACCCATGTCGGCCAGGCTCAGAGCAGCAGCAGAGGGCAGAGAGCAGAGGGCGCAGGGACAGGGATGGGAGGGATACCTGGGCCACCCGCTTGGCTCAGGGCTCAGGGTCTGTCATGTCACAAGCCCGGGTCCGTGCCAATCCCAGGCCAGAGAGAGAAGCAGGCCCCGTGCTGGGCATCTGCCCACCCGCCTCAAAGCGCTGTGCTGCCCCCAGCTGGGGCTTCTACCCCACAAGCAGAGCGGGCCCACAGGGTACGATGGCGCATGCCTGTGATCCCTGCACTTGGGAGGCTGAGGCAGGATTGTCACACAGGGGCTGCCCAGTGAGCTCAAGGGCAGACTCAACTACACAGTTAGACTACCTCAAGCCACCCCCTCAAAAAAAGACTTGGCCAGTCAGACACAGTGGTGCACACCTACAATCCAAGCACACCAGAGGCTGAAGCAGGAAGATTGCCATGAGTTCAAGGCCAGCCTGGGCCACGTAAAGAAACCCTGTCTCAAAAAAAAAAAAAAAAGAAAGAAGGGTCAGAGACATAGCTGGGCAGCACAGTGCCTGCCTGGGAAGTGCAAGGTTTTGAGTTTGATTCCTGGTACCAAACAATAAAAAATAAATAATAAAGATTTGCTTTCCAGTTCCTCCCACCAATGCAAACCATAACGGATGTCCCGCAGCAAGCCTCAGCAGCAGAGCTTTAAGCTCAATAGCTAATTTTGTTTTTCAAAGTTTCACATGAACATTTCATTTATTAAAATAATTTCTGTAAACTCTCAATAATAAAGTTCATTTTCCATTCTTGAGAAGCATTTCAAGGCACCATAAAACGACGGTCTCTCTAAGCATAGCCCTCCCACCACGTGTGAAAAGCCTATTAAAAAAAAAAAAACCTTTAGGAGCGGCAAAATAGCTCAGCGGACTAAGTGCCTGCTTAGACAGTGTAGGGACTGGGGTTCAATTCCCAGTACCACATACCATGCCAGCCCCACCCTTGGACATGCTGAGCTAGCAACTGAGTCCAGGCATGGTGGTGCATGCCTGTAATCCCAGCGCTGTGGATGCTGAAAACAGGAAGATCACTATGAGTCCAAGCTGCATAGTGAGACCCTGTACCAAATACGTAAAATTTAAAACAAAAAAATCTTGAGGGTGATCCCTGCCATTGGCAGCATGGAAAACAAAAAACAGACCTGACCCTGGCCTGATGTCATACAGGAGCTGGCCACCTGGGAAGGGATCTACTGCTGCTGTCCCAAGTGGACAAAGATAAACCCAACACACTAGATGTGGTGACATATAACTGTAATCCCCAGTACTTGGGAGGCTGAGGCAGGACTGTTATGAATTCAAGACCAGCCTGGGCTACAAAGTGAGCTCCAGGCCAGCCTGAAATGCATGGAGACCCTGTCTCAAAAAAGACCAAAAAAAAAGGCGATACTGGTGATGAAAAAGGGCGAGCAAGAACCAGCTGTGGCAGATACACCTATGAACCTATGACCTCAGCACTCAAAGAGGCTCAGGCAGGAGGGTTCCAAGTTTGAGCTCAGCCTGAGCAACTTATTGAGAGCCTATCTCAAAATAAAAAGCAGAGGCTGAGAATGTAGCTCTGTGCGAAGGCCCTGGGTCCAATACCCAGGACGGGAAAAAGAAACAGCCAGTTGGGTTAGAGCAGAGCCCTCACTTCTGGGCCTCCTCCTCGCTCGGGCTGGCGTCCCCCAGGTGCTCGGCCACCAGCTTGCTCTGCAGCAGTGCCGCCAGCTTCTTGGAAGTCTTTTGCAGGAGGGCGCTGCCCGGGTGTGCGCGGTGCACGTGGAGGTATAGGTCCTCCTGCGAGGGCCCCGTGTGGCCGCAGTCCTCGCACACGTAAAGCTTGTCTCGTCGCTGCTTGTAGGCATACTGCTGGTGCACGCCATGGATCTTCTTCAGGTGCGACTCCAGGGAGCAGCGCTGCGTGAAGGCCTTGTGGCACACATCGCACTTATAGGGCCGGATGCCTACAAGGACCACAGGGACAGGTATGTCACCCCCAGGCTCACCACCTCCCAGCCACGGTGCCACCAAAGATCACTGCAACCGAGACAGAGCAGCTGGGGGACGAGGACCTGGCAGTACACAGAGCGTGACATCCCCAAGGCCCCATCTCTCAAGGGAGATGCTGTCCTCCCCACTTTGGGCCTTCATGTTCTCAGCCATACTCAGCAAAAGGAATTGGAGTCCACACCTGCCATCCCAGCATCTGGGAGGCTGAGGCAGGCAGGAGAGCCCAAAGTTTGACCCCAGCCTGGCAACTTGCTATGCCTCACAGAGACTCAGTCTCAAAATAAACGAAAAATAAAGGGCCGGCAAGATAGCTCAGCAGACTAAGCACCTGCTTAGGCAAGCACAGGGACTGGGGTTCAATCCCCAGCACTACATGCTGTGCTGGCCCCACCCCCGGGGGTGCACTGAGCTGGGCACTGAGACCAGGCATGGTGGTGCATGCCTGTAATAACAGCGCTGGGGAGGCTGACTTGTAGGAGGATCACTACAAGTCTGAGCTGTGTAGTGAGACCCTGTTCCACATATATTAAAAAATAAATAAATAAAAAGGAGATGGGGATGGGCTCAATGCAAAGGCCCAGAGTTCAATACCTAGTATGGAAGAGAGAAAGAAAGAGACAAACACAGACTCAAAGCCATGCCAGCTGAAGCCTGAGAACAAGGCCGGGCGCGGCAGCACAGGCTGAGGCAGGAGAGGAGGCTCCCTGCAGGTTTGAGGCCACCCTGGACTGCTAAGCAAAGCCCAGCCTCCACCCCTTTGATAAAGAAAGCTGAGGACAGGGCTTCAGGCATCTGAGGCACCAGATCCAGTGCCCTCCTCAGGCTTGAGCGTCCCCTAGACCTGATAGTGGCTCACGGGCAGGGAGGACACTCAGCCACTCTGCTCATGTATTTCCTGCTCAGAGTGGGAGGAATCCCCCAAGGAACCAAATCATTTCCATTTCTCCTCCAGTCCAATCCAATCCAGAAACACATAATTTTCTATGACATCCACACCAAAGCTGCTTGGCGCAGTATCCTACTGAGATGTCACTCAGCTAGGGTAGCATAGTGTGAGTTTGTCAGAAAATGCCCAGATGCAGAAATCCCGACAGGGGGTGCTTGGCACAAGGTGCAGGACAGGGACTCAGCAGAACAGATCTTCAGTGGCATGTGGTGGAACACACCTGCAACCCTAGCACTCGGGAGGCTGAGGCAGGAGGATCACCAAGAGTTTGAAGCCAGCCTGAACTACATAGCAAGACCCTGTGTCAAAAACAAAAACAAACAAAAAAACAAAAAAATGGCCAGGGAGATAGCTCAGCAGTGTAAGCACTTTCTTAGCAAGTGCAAGGACCTGGGTTCAATCCCCAGTACTGCATGCCATGCCAGCCACAAAAACTGGGTGTGATGGCGCAAACCTATAATCCTATCCCTGGGGAGGCTGAGACAAGAAGATCACTCTAAGTCCTAGCTGCAGAGAAACCCTGTACCAAATGAACAAATCTTGAAAAAAAGAAAAAAGATCTTTAGTTTTAGTTTGTTAAGAGACAGGGTTTTACTGAGAGAGGCTATGCTTAAACTCAAAATCTTCCTGACTCCCAAGTTTTGGGATTATAGGAATGCACCGCAATGCCTGGCTTCTCTTTTCATTTTTGTGAAACAGGGTCTCACTATGGAACCAAAGCTGGCCTGGAACTCCACGCACTCCTACTGCCTCAGCCTCCTGAGTGCCAGGGTGGCAGGTGTGTGTCACTGGCCCTGCTGATTTTATGCTTGACCACATCTCAGTTTGGTGGAGCCCTAATTCTGGGCAGCAGCCAACACAGCAGTGAGGGAGTCAGCACGAGCTGCCCCAAGCAGTGGCCTCACCTGCCTCTCCAGAGCCCTCTGGAAAGCACTGGCCGGTCCCAGTCCTGTGAGGGTTGCCAGAGTGTCACCTTTGAGGAACAGGAGAGGAGAAGATATGAGCACCAGGCTGGGGCTGGGGCCTGGGCTGGCCCCTTTCTCACTAGAGGCTGGGAATCTTCCAATTCTTTTTTTTTTTTTTTTGACAGGGTCTCACTTCATAGCCCAGGCTGGCCTTGAACTCACAGTGATCCTCCTGCCTCAGCCTCCTGGATGCTGGCATGACAGGCGTGTACCACTGTGCCTGGCAATATTCTGGTTCTCCTCCCAGCATTACTTGTGTGGGTGTGTTCGCTGTGGGAAATCCCTCCAGTTTTGGATTTAGGCACTTGGGATTGGTGCACTTTTCTGGATATATGTTATCCTCCATGGAAACTTAACTTTGGGAAAATGCTCTCAAAGAGAAAACAAAGTTTCTGTTAGCAGCCCTCTCCTCAAGTTGGGGACACTGTTCCCAGGCTAGCACCTGAAAAGACAAGGCATGACTAGATGAAGAAAAAATGGAATACAGCAGACCTACAATGAGCACCATGGGGGTGAGGAGCTCCCCATGCTGGGGACCCTAAATGAAGAAGGGGCTGAGGATGGAGGAGGACTCTAGGGGGGCTCTTAGGTCTTGGAGGGTGGGCAGCAGCCAGGGTGAGGGTGGAGGCTTTATTTTTTATTTATTTATTTATTTATTTTTTTGGCGGAACCGGGGATTGAACTCAGGCCCTTGCGCTTGCCGGGGAAGCACTTATTCCACTGAGCCATCTCCCCGGCCCCAAGGGGTAGAGGCTTTAGGACGGGATACAGAGTGCAGCATCTACTGGAAAGGCTCAGGATGGAAGGATTTTCCCAGGGGAGCTGTTGAGGACAAGGTAGGCTGGGCTGGTTGGGGTCAAGTGGGGACCAGATGTCAAGACCAAATAGGCAGGGACTTTTAAATGTGTAAAAAAACCTTTTTGACAAGGGGGAGTCAACCCAGCACCTTCACTCTGAGCTCCATCTTTGGCCCTTTTTAAAATGAAAAAAAAAAAAAAAAAGGTGTTTCTCTTTTTTTGAGACAGGGTCTCTCTAAGCTACTAAACTTCCAATCCTACTGCCTCAGCCCAGAGTGCTCCACCACACTCCAATTTTGTTTCTGTACTACTTTTCTTTGTACCAGGGATTGAACTCGTGACCTTATGCTTGCCAGGCAGGCACTTATGCCACTGAGCTATATCCCCAGTTGTTTCTGTACTTTTTGAGACAGGTTCTTGCTGCATAGCCTAGAGTGGCCTTGAACTCGAGGCAATCCTCCTGCCTCAGCCTCTTGAGTGCTGGGATTACAGGCATGCACCACCACGCCCAGCAGTGGCCCAGCTTTCGAGCACACTGGTCCCACCATTCTCAGCACCTTCTGCAGCAGCTCTGGAAGTCATCTTTCACTGTGAGTGCCTCGTTGTGCATGCATAGCTGACTCAATGTCCTAAATCCACTCTAAGTGCCTTTCATGGTCATTTTGACTTTGGGGAAGTCACAGACTGGTGGAGGAGGACACAGTGTTATGTTTTCACGAGCCTGCCTTTCCGTGGGTTGGCCCTTCACACCAGCATTCGCTCTATTTTTGATCACACCTCACAGAGACTCTTAGGAAAGCAGACTGCAGAGCTGCGGCAGACGGGGCCAGGATGCTGGGAGAATGTGTCTGCAGAGAGGGGTGCACGGCAGTGCGTGCTTGTGTGATGAAAGGTATGAAATGGAAGCACTTTTTTTTTTTTCACCCTGGTGCTTACCGAGTCAGGCCTCCTTCCTAGAACAAAATCTAGCACTGGAAAGGGACTCCAAGCTACACACTGGCAGCCAGGACCCGGGTGCTGCCTTAGGTCCCCACTCCATGTGTGTCAAGCACCCCGAATCAACAAACCCCAACTCTGCCTGAGTCTAGATTGAGAACCCCATTCCACAAGGGCCAAAACAGGCTGGAGGTGGCCAGCAGGTGGCATGTCAGGAGGGGACCCAGCCGAGACGCTGTCAGGGGCCTCACCTGTGTGTGTGCGCACGTGCCGCTTCAGGTCAAAGGTGTCATTGAAGCCCTTGCCGCAGAAGGTGCACAGGTGCCTCTTGACCTGGCTGTGGCATTTGAGGTGGCGGTTGAGCATGCGCTGCAGGCGGAAGCCCTTGCCACAGAGCTCACAGCTGTGCATCGCCGGGTCATCGCACGTACCTGTGGTGAACTGGAGCAGACAGAGGCCGTGAGAGCCCTGGACTGGCACGGGGACCTACAGGGGCTTGGCTGCAGGGACAACTGGTCTCCTCTCCAGCAGATGAGACTTTTGCTTCCTCAACAAAAGGGCCCCTGGCTGATGGAAGGGCACTTGCCCTGCAGGGCAGAGTGGCTCCTGATGACCAGAGCCCCAGCCGCCACCTTGCAACATGAGGCTAAGGCCAGTGCCGAGGACAGAAAAGGTAGGAAGAGGAGTCTGGTCCTGTCATAGACAGTCCCCAGAGATGGCCACAGGTGCTCCTCCCCTGCAGTGTGGGCAGGGCTGCGACCCCTGACTAGTGAGTGAGGTGCAGCCCAACAGCGCCAGGCCCTAGGAGACTGCAGCCATGCCCTCTCCTCCTGTGCCAGATACTGTGCACCAAGCCCAAGCCCACACACAAGAGCACGGGGGGGGGGGGGTGCTGGCTCCAGCTGCTGCCCTGCTCCTGACCCACAAGGTCTCAAACAACAGTGACACAGGGGCCAGGCCTGGTGGTACAGGCCTATCACCCCAGCACTCGGGAGGCTGAGGCAGGATGGCTCTAAGTTCTAGCCCAGCCTAGGCAACTTAGTAAGACCCTGATTCAAAACTTAA